CCGTGTCCACTCTGGCCCCATCTCCCACACCAGGCTCCCAGGTGTGTCTGTGTCCCCTGTCCCATCCCCACCCTTACGCCACCCTCCCCTCCCCCTCTCACTTTCTTCCCCCAGCCCAGCTCCCTCCCACGTTCACAGAGACTGCTGTCCTCCTTCGTGGCCATGGACAAACCATAAGGCACCCTGTTCTTAGTGAGTGCTCATGGCCTCCTGACATGTGGACCTGGCTTGAGGCCACACAGCGACACTCGGCCCAACTCTCACAGCTGCCTCCTCTTCCTCATAATTTACACCCACCCTGCTCCCCAAGAAAAGCGAGGAGAGTCCTCTTTGAGAAGGGATTAGGAACTCAGCCAAGTCAGGAGGGATGTTGCAGGCCGGGGCTGGAGATGATTATGGCCCCAGGATGCTGGCGGAGCCCTAAGCTCCCGGGAGAGTTGGGCAGGGGAGAATTGGGCCATTAGCTTTCCACTATCTGCTCTGTGCAGAGTAGGGCCAGCCTTGAACCCAGGTCTTGCTAATAAAGGTCAGCGGGTGTCCCAGGGAGCCCATCTGTACCCACATCGGGGCCAGGAACACTTACAAGAACAGAGACACTTTCAGCTCCCGCAGACTCTCCGAAGATGGTCACAGAGCCTGGGTCCCCTCCAAAGTTGGCAATGTGGGGACGGACCCAGCGCAGTGCGGCCAGCTGGTCTAAGTGACCCCAGTTGCCCCGGCTGTGTTCATCCCCTGTGCTGTGGGTAAGAGAACAGTGTGTGTGTGTGTGGGGGGGGGGGGGCGGGGGAGCACTGTGGTGCTGGGTTAGAGTCATCATGGTGGTATTCCCAGGACCATAGCTTGGGCTGGGGGCTCTAGGTGAGCCCTCCACAGCCCAGACTCACAGGTGTAGCATTGTTTGTTTAGCTCTCCATTCATTCACCTGGCATGTACTTACTGAGTATCTGCTATGTGCCAAACACTGTTCTAAGAGCCCAACGCAAAATAGGAAAGTCTCTAATTATGTGGAGCTCACGCTACAGATCGTCAACAAATAAACAGGTACATATAAGAACATAACACCAGTTAGCAAAAATGCTCTCAGGGTAAATAAAACAGGGTCACGGAAAAGGCATGGGTGGGACAGTGGGGTCTTATTTCAGATCAGATGTCTAGGGAAGGCATCTCGGAGGCAGCCGCATCTGAGTAGAGATCTGAATGAATGAGCACAAGAACCTTGCCAATATCCAAAGAAAGAAATTCCAGGTGACAGAGGTAGCACGTGCAAAGACCCCAGGGTCCAGTGAACAAAAGTGTGAATGCAGAACATGCAGGCAAGAGAAGGAAGTATTTCAAAGAGGTGTGAGGGGTCATGTGTGGATGCTGCCACGGTTGGGCGCAGAGCTGGTGGGTCACTGGAGACCTCCTCCTCCACTAGAACAGTCCAGCGGTGTGGTCTGGGTAGAAACCTGACTGGTGTGGGGACAGGAAAGACTGAAATGAAAGAAGGCGTGGAAACCTGATGGAGCAGTTTTAATGTAACGGGGAGCAGAGAAATGGGCCGGGGGGTGAAAGAGATGAAGAATCTCAATGAAGGCGCTGCATGCTGGTACATGAGTCCCTTATCGCCCTCCTCCAGCCCTACAGGTTTTTCCAGTGAGTGTCTATCCCACCTCCTGTACACCATTCATTGCAGGAACCAAGGTCCTGGGGCCGGTACATTGAGAAAACCTACCAGTAACTCTGCCCTAAGGAACCCTGACTCCTGTCTCCAAAGAGACTCCATGGAGAAGATTCTAGCCTTGGCTCATGCACGTGCCAAATGCGGAAGCTAACGGGGTGAGTGACCCCAACATTCCTCCTGAGAGGCTTGTCCTCTGGAATCAGATGCTCTGACACCTCCCAGCTCCAGCCACACGTTCCATCACCCGAAGCATTCATTGAGCTGCTGCCCAAGTCTGCCCTTCCCTCCTTTCCTGTGAGAGGGGAC